AGGTGAGGAGAATCTTGAAACCTCAGCGTAATTTTAAAAGGAGACCTCTTGAAACGGGATAGAATGCAACGTCGCCCAGCAGGCTATGTTAGCAGCCTATACGATCTACAAGGCATAGTCGGCTCGGCGAAAAGAACAACGTGCCACCCAGCACCTTTTACTTAACCTCCTCCCGAGGAATTCGGATTGTCTGTGACTGAAGCGGCAGCGGCGGCAGCCGCAGGAAGAGGAGGGACCAACTGTGCTACAGCTGCCTGACTTTGGCACGGGGTCCGTCGGAAAAGCTGTTTCGTAGCTCCCCGCCGGATCCTGCTCCTCTCCTCTCTTCCTTGTCCTGGAGTTACTGCCGAGTCCCGCCAACACGCCGCGAGGGGAAAAAGGCCTGCGAGGAGCGAAAGCGCCTCCTCAGCTGTCATGTCGCAGCCAACGAAAGGCAAAAAACACCCCGCCAAGGGCGCCAGAGAGGTAAGTCGAGGGTGGGTGGTCGGGAACTAAACTAAACTAGGTATTGCCCCTCAGAGTGCTCTCTCTACTTCCCCTTTCGAATAAAAGGCGTGGGAAATGTAGCCCTGCGGCGTGCAGTCGGGGAAGGGGCTGAGGCGTATGTGTTAAAGCGCAGCAGGAATTTGCCAGCGCCCAGCGCGGCGAGGAGCCAAGATCGGCGGCGCCCCGCGGCGGGGGGAGCAGCCAAGGGCGGGGGCGGGGAGGGGCGGGGGACAGCTGAGAAGCAGAGCCGGGAGCGAGGGGTAGGACTGGGTGGGGCGAAGCAGCTGCTCCAACGAGGGAACTTGGGGTGCGCGCGCGCGCTCGCTTGCGTAAGCACAGTCCGCCTCCCGTCGTGCCGCCGCCTTTTTCGGTCTCCGCTCCAGATGTGCTGGGCGACCGCTGTAATTTCCCCCTGGCAGCTGGGGTGATAAGCGTTGTAGCTTGTTCATCTCGAGGGCGCCCGCTTGAGGTAGGCTGGCGAGTGGACTTCAAAGGCTAGAGCCCCTCCCTATGGACGTGTGAAAAAACGGTGACTATTATGCGAATTGCCCTTTTAAAATCTTTCAGCAGGCATTTTGTGCTACTTTAAAT